AATTATTGAAAACCTCTATAAAATTGTTGAAAACCACTATAAATTTATCAAAGACAAAGCCTGACATTATGAAAACTACTCCGTATAAACAACTATATAAACATGAAAACCACTTAATATAAAACAATTATATAAACATGAAAACCACATTATATACACAACTATATAAACATCGAAAATCACTATGAATTCTAACAAGAAAACATCAAAAATTTTGCGAAAAAGAAGCTATAAAACCACTATAAAGGACACCGTCTTCTCTCCAATGAACCCTAGAGCATAGTCCGTGTAATCATTTTATTCTCGTTATTTGAAACGTAAACCACTATTTGAAAAGACCATCATCTTCTTTCTCCCATTAGCAATTTCGTCAAAAATTTATTAAGAACAAAAACATTCCAAAAATTAAAAGAACAAAAATCAGCCGTTAAGAAAAAAACATGCACATAATGAAATACAAATCAAAATCTTGTTAACAATTGAAATTACGATTTATGAACTACAACATAATTTTTCATATTGGAACACAGACGAACTGACAACAATAAAGTAATATCAAATTCATGTAACATGTAGGGAAAAAAAAATGTGAGAATCGTAATTCCAAATGCCAGTCTCATAAAGAAGATTGCTAATCAGCTATCAATTGACTTACACAATCCCTCCCCTGAGAATGGGGCAAGGCACACGCAAATTATTAAGGTAAACACATAACAGCAAACTGAATGCAAATTGAAAACCGATGAATTTTGAAATTACGGTTCGGTTTGACAAAAGTTTAAACATAAAAAAAGAGTTTTTTTTGTGCCAGCAGTTGTTTGAAAAAACAGCAGAATTAGAAACGAGAATAAAAAAAAGCCATTACAAAAATATTAATTTATAAGAATTAATAGCGTTTATCACAATATCGTTATCAAATAGGGATTGCCCCCACAAATCCTAAAACTATTGAAAGATGATTGAAAAGACAAAAAAATTACCTTTTTCTACCACCGCATATATTTAAATTTTTTTTACCCCGCATCTATATCGCACGGCGACGGTGAAGAGAGAAGAAATAGGGACGGGGGCGGGGCGGCGCCGGTGGGGATAGAAGAAACAGGGGCGGAGGGATGAATAGAAAAAAAAATGAGAAAATCAAATTAGAGAGAAAAAAGAGATACACGGTTATTTATGTTCAATGAACAAAATTTGTGGGTGTGATTGAGAACGTGATATTAAAGGAGCAGATACTACGCATATTTATATTCAACCCTAAGATACGTTATAACAAGGTAAGGGTATAATTGTGATATTTAATTAATTTTTATTAATAAAAAATGTTTTGGATTTATCTTAAAAATAAGAAATAAATTTGGACCCATTGTAATTGCACTTATATAATCAGGGAGTTTTGTCAAATTTTCCCATACAATAAACCATAAAAATAAATGACCCAATTGATTTCTTATTTAAGAGCTCTCGGCTAGAATATAAAAATTATCTTGCTATATATAAAAGCCCTCTGGAAGAATTTCGTGTTCCTATCGCCTTCCCTGATCCATTGGACCTTACTTCTTTGTCTCCAGTAAATATCTTCATCATCGTATAAATGTTCTAACTCTTTGTGCAATTGCCGGATTGCATCTCTATTTTCCTCAGTATGGACCCCGGACTTCAGCCGATGTAGGTCTTTGTGGATTCTCGCTATTCGTTTACGAGGGTGGTTGAGAACATCTTGCTTCCATCGCATAAACGCCAATCTGCAGCCCTCTGTTTTGTTAAGAAGCTCATCTACAGGTTCAGAACCCCTATCTTTCGACCACTCATCTTTAACCAGCTCTGCACATTCATCTTTTCGGATCCATCTAGCTTCGAAATGGAATGGGTGTCGACCTGTGACCACGTCATTTTCCTCCGGCGGCTCAAGAACTAACATTAACGGAATATGATCCGACCCCGCCAGTTGAAGATGATGCACTTGAGCTCTCGAAAAGTGAGACATCCATCCATCATTTGCACAAACTCTGTCTAGACGACTACGAACCGTGTTAGGAGCATTCCGGTTATTGGACCAGGTAAACATAGAGCCATGGAAGCCAAGATCTGAAAGATTACATTCGGTCAGTGCGTACGGAAAGCTGCAAGTTGCCCTGGATTATACCGTAGCCCCCCAACTTTCTCTGTATTACACAAAATAGCATTATAATCTCCCCCCCACAATCCAAGGCAAAGTGCGTTGTACCTTCAAATTGCGTAGCAACGCCCACGTTTTGTTTCGCTGATCTCGCTCTGGAAACCCGTACAGGCCTGTAAATCTCCACTTGCTAATAGATTGGGAACCGTCAATTTCTACATCTATGTGATTTGCGGAAAAACTAATGAGTTGGACTTGAACCTCTTTTTGCCATAATAGAGCTAAGCCACCCGACATTCCAATTTTGTCTACTGCTAAACCATTTAAGTTCCATTTTTTCTTCAAAGAGTCCACTAGAGTTGAAGTTGCTTTTGTCTCCGAAAGAAACACCAACAAGGGGTGGTAACGTCGGAAAATATCTCCGATGGTGTGAAGTGTCAAGGGTACCCTGAGCCCTTGACAATTCCAAAAAATGCAGCTCATTGCGATCGGCGGGACTGCTCCGCAGTCTCCGTCGTTGAACTCATATCCTCATCACGTAGGTACAGATGTGGTTTCTTGCTGCCCTTGTTTCGATCCGGGAGATTAGAATCGGAGGCCTTGTTCTTGCGGCTCTTACCGGAACTGGAAAACTTGCGCCGCACACTTCGGACCTCTTCTCCTCTTGTATGGAATTGAATTGGGTTGTTGACCAGAGCAAGGTCATTCACTTCATCTCTAGTTGATGTTGCATGGAATCGTGGAATATTTTCCTGCCCCGCCGTTTCCACTGGTAGTGGTGAGTAATTGAAAATATTCTTCCCCCGCGGACTGGGTCGAGAGAGTCCACTTTCTTGCAGCAGATTCCTCGACACCAAAGGCTGCAATGGAACCCGTATACCCTCTGTGTCCCTAGTCGGTTGTGCCTTCATCCAAGTGCCATACGGTAGGTGGTCACCAGGGTCTGCAAAATTGTCTTTCTATCGCATCGGGCATTTGTTCTCGCCATGCCCTAGTATTCCGCAAAGAAAGCAAAAATTCGGCAAACGCTCGTAGGTGAAATCTATCCAAGTTCTTGATCCATCCATCGCATTAAGGTATATTCACCTTTTGAGTTTGCGGGTAACGTCGATACGAACTTTGACCCTTCAGAATTGTGCTAGATCCAAGTTTTTGGAGTCCAACAGTTGGATGAACGTCCCTACACTGTTCCCAATCGAGGTGACTACCGCTGTAGTACACTGATGGAGAGGAATATGGTGGAGTCGAATAAATATCGTCATGGAATTGATCTCCATCTCACTAGCGTTGTCACCTTCCTTTAATACTTGAAAGACGAGGGCATTGCGGTCAATAATCCAAGGGCAACCCTCTTGAGCATTCTGAAAATCTCGAACATGATTGAAGTTGATCACAAACCGATTCGTACCCATCGGATGGAAATTGCAGCCCTACACCGGTTGAAGAAGGCGTAAAACGTTGGATTTGATCGTGTGGTGTGACATTTCCCGCTCTATGACTACCCTCCCAACCAGGCGAAGGACATTCGCAGAAACCCTAGTTCCTGGAGAGTTCTCAGCCACCATGACTCCTGCTTCTTCTTCTTCGGTTAGGGTAAATTTTTTAGCCATCATATCTGATATCCCTTCCATGATTTGAAGCCGAGTGTGATGAGATGGGTGATGATGATAGAGTGTTAGAGAGAACCAAAGGCGGCAAGAAAATTGAGGAAAACTGAGAAAATGAGGGGGCAGGGGAATAGGATAAACGAAAGAAAACACAATATAGAATAAAACCCTAGAGACGAAATATTATACGGCAAATAAAAGACAAAAGAAAATTAAACAATCAAATTAGATAAGATAAACGCTAATAAGTTCTGATGATCTGAGTTGGTGAGTAGCATCCATAGTGAGTCCGAGGACTAGGTTTTCCACAGCCTCTCATGTCGAGAGAAAAGTTATTTTTCCAATCATGGATTCTGGATTCTTACTTTAGTACAATTTGTTATCCTATTTAGAAAGAGGCTGAACACGGTTAATAAGATTCGCGATAAAAGGGGAGTTTGGCAGGAGAACAAGAAAGACATTGAACAAGTTATCTCTGGCTATTTCGAGGAAATCTTCCATTCTGCTTACCCAGAGCAGAGTGTGATGGATGAGGTGATTGATCATATTGTTCCTAGATTCTCCGGTGAGGCCTCTCAGACGCTCTCTCTTCCTTTCACTGCGGATGAGGTAACCCGTGCTATATCCCAAATGTCTCCGATCAAGTCCCCTGGCCCTGACAACCTTCCCGTTCTTTTCTATACTAAGCACTGGCATATCTTAGGCTCCTCCGTTATCAATTGCGTTCTTGATTTTCTGAATAATCATAAGCTTTCTACTCGTATGAATTTCACTTTTATTGTCCTTATTCTTAAAGTCAAAAAACCAGAGAAAATCATTGAATACCGCCCTATTAGCCTCTGCAATGTTATCTACAAATTCGGGTCTAAAGTTATCGCCAGCCGTCTTAAACCTATCCTTAACGACATCGTCATTTCTCAAACTTAGTTAGCTTTTATCCCGAAACGCCTCATAACTGATAATGTTCTTGTTGCATACGAGATTAATCACTTTATTAAATCTAATTCTAAGAGGTGTACCAATTATATGGCACTTAAATTGGACATTAGTAAAGCTTATGATCGAATTGAATGGGGTTTTGTGAAGAAAGTTCTTGATAGACTGGGCTTTCCCGACAGTTTTATTCATTTAATTATGCTTTGCCTGTCTTCTGTTACTTATTCTTTCTTTTTCAATGGATACCAGTTTGGGTTCATGCGTCCGGCTCGGGGACTTCGACAAGGGGACCCACTATCTCCATATATTTGTATATATGCTGCACGGAGGCACTCATTGCTATGATCAAAGTTGCGGTCGAGCGAGGTGAGATGAGAGGTGTTCGGATAGCCCCTATTGCGCCAGTGGTTTCGACCCTATGCTTCGCCGACGACACACTCATCTTCAGCCAGACGACTAGCGAGGATGCTCAGACGCTTCGCCGGATACTTGTCTCATATGCCTCAGCCTCGGGACAGGTTATTTACCTTGAGAAGTCCACAATGGTGTTTTGCCCGACCACTCCCCTGGAAAGAAAAGACGAAATACATTCCATTTTTGGCTTTCACATTGTTGAAAAGCACGATAAATACTTGGGGATGCCGTTTTCCATGGGAAAGTCAAGACGGGAAATCTTTGGTTTCTTACGGGACATAATTTGGTCTAGAATTAAGGGTTGGGGCGAGCGGAACCTATCACGAGCAGTCAAAGAAGTTCTTATCAAAGTCGTACTACAGGCGATCCCCTCATACGTTATGAGCTGCTTCATTATTCCTCAAAATCTCATCTAGGAAATGGAATCCGCGATTCAACGATTTTGGTGGGGTAGTGGAACACGGAATTCAATGGCTTGGGTTTCGTGGAGGAAGCTTTGCAAATCTAAGGAAATAGGAGTAATGGGCTTTCGTGATCTACATAAGTTCAATATGGCCTTGATAGCAAAGCAGACATGGAGGGTATTGACTAATCCGGATCTTGTTTTGGCGCAACTTCTCAAGGCACGATACTTTCCTAATGGCAGTATTTGGTCGGCAGCGGAAGGCACCAGGCCCTCTACAACTTGGTGTTGTCTTCTTAAGGTGAGACCGGCACTTCAATGTGGAACCAGGGTTAGAATAGGAAACGGAGCGGACACCTCAATATGGGGAGACCCATGGCTGTTGGGAGACAGCAACTTCAGAATCTACACCAAACGCCCTATTCATACGTGTTACCCGGACAAGGTATGAGACTTAATCGACATTGACGCTCGTGCTTGGAAATCAGATCTTATTGAAGCGGTTTTTTGGCCGGTGGACAAGGAAAGAATCATGGTTATTCCCGTGGGAGGCATGCTGACAAAAGACAAAATCATTTGGCATTTGTCGAAGACGGGTCAGTTTACAGTAAGAACATGTTATCAAGCTTTAGTGTCACAACAGTCAAGAGAACGACGCAATCGTGATGCAGAAGACGGCTCATCGAGTGGAGAGACAAACATAATATGTAAATTTATATGGAATCTGAAAGTCCCCCCCGAAAATCAGAGTCTTCTTGTCGCGTGCTTGCCTGGATATTCTCCCAACAAATGCGGAATTGTTTCGTCGCAAGGTTAGCTTTTCCCCTTACTGCTCCTTCTGCACAAACGAGTGCGAATCCATTATGCACGTTATCTGTCAATGTCGAGGGATGGATGATGTGTGGAGATCTCCTCCGTTTAATCTTTTCTTTACGGAGGCTTTCTCTTCTTTTTGGAACTGGCTCGAATTTCTTCGAAAATCACTAGGGAAGGAAGATTTTTTGCTGGCGGTTGTTATTAGTTGGAAAGCATGGGAACTTCGAAACAATATTGTGCATGGAAAATAAGCGCTTAATGTCCAAGAGTTGGTGGGCTGGAGTATATCTTATCTCCACTCTTTCACAGTACAAATCTTCGCGAGGTTGGGGTCAATCGGCGTCATGGTTGAACCCACCTGAAGGAGTCATAAAAATCAACACAGACGCTGGTTTTCCTCCGGGTAAGGGTTTTTTATTTAACTGCGATGGTGACTAGGGATTGTATGGGTCGATGCTTATGGTGGAGGGTCGATAGGATCGTTGGTCGTCCGTCTGTTGAAGCTGGGGAAGCAAGGGCTGCTCAACGAGCTTTGTCCGTAGCCTTGGAAATGGGATAGTCTAGGGTAATTCTAGAGCGTGATTGTAAGAGGGTTATGGAAGCTCTAAAAGCAGGAGATGCAATCTGTCTCCCCTTTGGTACTTCATAGAAGACTGTTTGGATATGGCTAAATCATTCAATTATTGTAATTTTTCTTTTGTTTCGAGACAAGGCAATCGCCTCGCTCATGCGTTACTTTTCTCTACGAATTTCGTAAGTTTGGAAGGCTCTTACCTAAACTCTAATTTGGCATTGATAGCCTAATAATATGTTCTTTTGTTCTAAAAAAAAATAAAAATAAAAGCCCTCTGCAATAGAATTTTTCATGAAGATGAACAAATTTTTGGTGTATGCAACTCTTCTAATTGTTGGAAATCTGCTGTGAAAGTTGTAAATAATTCGTTGGATAGACAATGTGAGGCGCAGACTAGGTCGCTCTCTTAGGACGAATTTCATGATCCCTTCTGGAAGAGGTGCAATAAGGTCGCAATCGTGTTGCCTATGGGATACAACAGTCCAGCCTATCTCGTTGCTGTAGCTTCACAAGAAACCGCACTATCAAGTGAAGCAAGAAGCTTGCACCCGACACTTACAAGAACTCAAAAGATAACAATTTAGTAAGTAAAGTGGAGAAATTTTTTGCATGGAAAAATGAAATCAGCATAGCTCCTTTTATATGAACAAAATTAGGGTGGTTTTATTTGTGATGGTAGAATTAAAATCATAATAATTGACTTTGAATTTAAAATTTGAAGATTGATTTGTAATTTTAAAAAAGGTATGCAGCCTTTAAATATAATTTAATATTGGGTCAAAACATTGAAGTGAGGTGACTTGAAAACCAATTTTGTAACTGACAAATCTTCACTTATTTTATAAGATATTCCACATTTATTTATAAAATATTCCAACAATCCCCCACTTATTTTATAAATAAATTTAAAATTAAAAAATTATAAGGTTTTGAGTTCTTAAGAGAATATTATGCATAATGAAAGAGGGCAATGCTTTGAAACCTTCACTTAGTACACTATATTTCTTGTACTAGAATCAAGGTAGACTTAGCCTTCAAACATTGATCCTTAGGGCGCATAGAATTATAATGCACACATAATATTCGAGTGTCCCGAATAAGCTTCTTAAAGCAGGCACATTAACGGCCTTGGGCTTTACCCCATTTTTTGTGAGTGCTCTAGAGAATAGCCTATAATTCTCATAGAAAGCGGCCCCACTTCCACACTCACATAGGTGAATTCTATCAAGAATTTTTACGTAACTCCAACACCCCACCCATTCGGACTATAGAATTCCTTAAGAGATCAAAATCTCATCCTCACAATTCGTTACGAGTTTTATTAGTGCACACGCATCATAGGAATGGATTATAAAAGTGTGCACTTTTATCACAATCAAGTTGCTTTCAGATTCGTTATTCTTCGCCTAGTTCTTAGGATCTCTAGTCTCTAGGCGGTAGTATTCTCATCAACAACTTTTACAATTCTTTAGGCTTTAGTCCAATCTCCTTCGATACTATTAAGACTTTTTCTCTAGCTAGAGATTTTGTAAGCGGATCCGCAAGATTGTCACATGACTTCACAAACTCAATGGTTACAGCACCATTGTTCACATATGACCTCACACTGCTGTGTTTTCTTCTAATGGTTCTTGATTTACCATTGTAGAATTTGTTTTGCACTCGGCCAATCGCAGCTTTGCTATCACAGTTTAGCAAAACATGAGGCATTGGCTTTTCCCACATTGGAATTTCATATAGTAGATCTCACAACCAACTTGCCTCTTCACTGGCTGAGGCTAGTGCAATCAACTCAGCCTCCATGGTGGATTTTGCTATAATATGTTGCTTTTTTTTAGCGCCAACATATAGCTCATCCACCTAATGTAAACGCGTAGCCGTTCGTAGAAAATGAGTTATCAAACTCAGTATTTCAATCAGCATCACTGAAACAACATCACTGAAACCCTCAACGATAGTAGGATGTGCTTTATAAAATATTCCGTAGTCCATGGTTCTCTTAATATAACCCATAACTTTCCTCAAAGCTTCCCAATGTTCAAAACTAGGTCTATGTGTGAATTGACTCAGCACACCAACAGTATAAGCAATATCGGGCCTTGTACAATCAGTTGCATATCTTAAGCTACCAATGATACTCGCATATAATTTTTGATCTACCACATCATTGTCACTTAAAGTAGGACGCAATTTAACAACATTATTAAAAGGAGTGCACATAGAATTGCAATCAAAATAATTATATTTTTTCAAGATTTTTTCAACATAGTGACATTGATCAAGACATATACCTTCCTTTACTCTAGTTATTTTCATGCCAAATATCACATTAGTTTCACCCATATCTTTCATATTGAAATTACTTTTAAGTAAGGCTTTAGCAAAATTCACAATTTCCATAGTAGAGCCAAAGATAAGCAAATCATCAACATATAAACATATAATAACATCCAATTTTTCTCTAGACATATATTAAATACATTTATCACTATTGCATTTAAAACTACTAGTGAGCATACAACGATCAAATTTCTCATGCCATTGTTTGGGAGCTTGTTTTAGACAATATAAAGATTTAATCAATTTGCATACTTTTTTCTCATGACCAAGTTGAACAAACCTTTTAGGTTGTTCCATATATAATTCTTCTTCTAAATCACCATGTAAAAATGCAGTTTTCACATCCATTTGATGACTAATTAAGTTATGAATAGATGCAACAACAATTAACATTCCTATGGATGTAATTCTAGTCACAGGAGAAAAAGTATCAAAGAAATATATATCATCTTTTTGTTTAAAATCCTTAGCAACTAATCTCGCTTTATATTTATCAATAGAACCGTCAGGATTAAGCTTCTTTTTAAGAATCCATTTACAACCTATCGCATTGCAACCGGGAGGTAATTCAACTAATTTCCAAGTCCCAATAGAAATTAGAGAATCCATTTCATTATTAATGGCTTCTCTCCACAAATCAGAATCAGGGGACGATAGAGCTTCATTAATGGTCATAGGATCATTTTCTATGTTATAAACTAAATAATCAGGACCAAAGTCCCTCTCAATTCTAGATCTCTTACTTCTTCTAGCTTCAATTTCACTAGGTTCTTCTAAGTTCTCATTGGTGATAGTGATCCTAGATGAACTAGGTTCATCTATAGATTTATTATTACCCCCACTATTTCTCAATTTATAGGGAAACTTATCTTCATGAAATATGGCATCTAAAGATTCAATCACAACATTATTTTCTAAGTCAAGAAATCTATACGCTTTACTAGAATCAGCATAACCAAAAAAAATACATTTATAAGCTTTAATTCTTAATTTAGGAATTTTAGGATCAGAAATTCTCACATAAGCAAGATAACCCCAAATTTTAAAATAACTCACATTTTGTTTTTGGTTTTGCCATAATTCAAAAGGAGTAATTAAATCATGTTTTCTAGGTACTCAATTTAAAACATAATTAGCAGTTAAAACAGCTTCGCCCCACAAATAATATGGAGCATTTGAACTAGCGAGCATAGCATTAGTCAAATTAATCAAAGATCTATTTTTTCTTTCAGCTACTCCGTTTGATTGAGGAGAATAAGGAGCGGTGACTTGATGTACGATCC